AAAAAAAAAAAAAAAAATATATATATATATGTCTTAGTTGTTCTTAATTATTTATAGCGCATGTATTAATTTTAAAACTATTTCAGACATTTTTTGTGCTCCCTTGAAAATAAATAACAGCTCAGGAACAGGCAAATAAAAGAGGTTAAGTGACTTGCACAGTGTCTGAAGAAATGTTTTTCCCTAATTCCCATTTTCTTTGAAGAAAGAGCTTCCCTAAATAATATCCTAGCTTTTCTTTGTTCCTTAATGTACTCCATTCCTGGGAAAACAGAGTGGTTTACTCATCAGGTTGGTAAATCTGGGAAGAACTGTGAGTTTCACTCACCTCTGTCCTCCTTCTTTTGGAGAGGGAGCTTGCAGCTGGCATGACTCTCCTAGTCATTCTGTGACTGAGAGGGGAATTTGGCCCAGTTCCAGAGTTTCGTTTAAATTAGCTCTTTGCTAACAGATCTAAAACTGCATTTTCCAACAGCATTTTTTTCTCCCAATGCACTGGTCCCATATACCGGAGGTGGCAGGTTCAAACCCAGCCCCAGCCAAAAACTGCAAAAAAAAAAAAAAAAGAAAGAAAGAAATGTTTAGTCAATATTTTAGAAAACATTAGGGTTGCTGTCAAATAACTGAGGTCATCCATCAAATGTGTCAAGGAGAGTCTTCTCTCAACAACTATGGCATGGGATTATTGTGTATATATAGAGCACGGTCACATACAGCGCACAGGACAGGCAGGGGACAAATGTGTTCCCAAATGAAGGCTGCACGTGGCACCACTGTAGCTCTAGACTGCAAGCTCATTCCCATTCCAAGAACTTCATAAATAGTACACTGGTGTGACTTTTCTTTTTAAAAAGGATACTATGTGGCTTGTAAAATTAATCTTGGAGGCACCTCATAGTAAATAATGGTTCCATTGTTTAACAATTATTTAACACTTCTTTCACAATATGAAATCTCCATGATTAAAATCATTTGGAATAACAAATCTTCTTCTAAAAGTCAAGCATTTGTGTAAGAATCTGTCACTCCTAAAGGAATTCATGACAGCAATCCCTGACTCCTTTTATCTAGCTGTAACACTGACACTAAATTGAGAGTTTTACTGGGGGAAGAAAAACAGCAGGAAAGACAAATTTTGGAGCCCTGAAGAACAATGATCAATCAGAGGGCAGTGTGATGAGAAGGCCACAGGAGAGCCTGAAAGTAGAAGAGAGTCTGAAAAAGGAGACAAACGTAAACGTGATCTGAGTTTTACAACATCGATGGGGGCCCATTTCCCTAACATTTCCATTGACACCAGTCCTTGGTGTGTATCAGGCACGGTTTTAAGCCCTCATTTGATTAACAGTATTTAATATTTTTATTCTCATTTTACTTTTGGAAAAACCAAAGCATGAAGAAGTTGAGTACATTCAGAGTTTCACAGGGAGTTACTGGCAGAGCTGGGATTCAACTCCAGGTACCATTCTGTAATCATGAATCTCGGTTCTGCACAGCATGTATTCTACAGCAGCGGTTTTCAGTCCTGTTCTTAACCATGACATCCCCCACCTGTAGAAAAATATGACATCCAAATAGAAGTAACAGAAACAGAAGTTTTGTGAAATACTTTTACTAGATGTAACGCATTAGAATCTTTTCTATTTTACTTTTTAAAACTGTTGGTTGCAACGAATAAATTGACTTGACAACCCACTGCTTCTCAAATGCTAACTCCACTAGGATGTTTAATACTTATCTCAGATTTACCAATTTGATTTTCACTCTCCAGTTCTAGTCCTTCCTTTTTCTCTCTCAGTAAATTACACCTTCTGTCCTGTGCATGTGGTGCCACTAACCACATGAAGCGGTTGGGCATCTGACACGTAGTTCTCAAAACCGAGAAGTGCTCAGAGTGTAAAATACACGCCAGCTTTTGAAGATTTAGTATGAAAAAAGAACATAAAACATCTCACTAGTAACTTTTTCTATTGATTATTTATTCAAAAAATGTCTTAGATAGAGTTAAATAAATTATATTACAAAAACTAATTCAACCTTTTTTTAATGTAGCTACTTAAAATTTTAAATTACCTGTGTAGCTCATAATTATTTCTATTGAACAGTACTTTCTGTATGCTCCGACTAAAAACCCTGGACTCATCCTTGAGTCCTTTCTCTATATTAGCAAATCCTATAGGCTCTGCCTTCAAAACAGATCCAGAATTCTTCAACTTCTCACCACTTTCAGGCAATACATTTTCCCCAGCACACACACACACACACACACACACACACCCTTCTCTTGCTCAGATGACTGTAATAGTTTTTCTAACTAGTCTCCTTGCTTCCTTCCTTGCTACACGTTATAGTTTATTCAGCTATTCCCCCATCAAATTGCAGATTAATCCTTTTAAAAGGTGAAGCAGATTATGTCACTCTGTTCAAAACCCTCCAATGGCTCTGTTTCCCAAAGTAAAAGCCTCAGTCCTTACAGGGCCTACAAAACCTTACCAGATCTGGCGGCCCACCCCACACCATCTGTCTATTCTGATCTCTTACCAGTCTCTTCTTCACCTGGCTGCAGTGGCCTCCTTTAATTCACCAAGGATGCTCCTACCTGACGGCTTTGCACAATCTGTAACCCTCTACCCCGGACAGTGTCTTCCTTCTCTCAGTTTGGAATCACTTCACTGACCATGGGGTTTGGAATTGCCAGTTTCCCTTTGCAGAGTCGTCCACATTTCCCCCTTCCCTGGTTTATTTCTCACAACCTTTTATTATCCTATATAATCTGCTTATTAAATTCACTTATCTGTCTGCCGCAAAATGTAGGAATTCCATGAGGGCAGGGGCTGTTTTTATTGCTGCATTTCCAGCACCTATGTGCCTGAGAAACAACAGATGACCATGAATAAGCTATGGGTTTCCAAACTCAGTTTTGGACCATTTGCACCTAGTCATTCTCAGAAATCTACTGAAACAAGTATTTCAGTGTGTGTGTGTGTGTGTGTGTTTTAACCCATTATCCTCCTCGGACCTACAGCAATTCCACGACAAAGAAAGCAAGATTTTTCTCTACACCCCGTTAACCTAACCCAAACCTTTTCTTCCATCCTCCTGCCCCAGCCTCTCCAATACCTGAGCCTAGGGGCTTGCACCACTACCTCTGGGTAATTCTTTCTTTTTTTTTTTTTTCTTTTTTTGAGACAGAGTCTCACTATGTGCCCTTCAATAGAGTTCTGTGGCATCACAGCTCACAGGAACCTCAAACTCTTGGGCTTACTGGATTCTCTCGCCTCAGCCTCCCAGGTAGCTGGGACTACAGGCGCCCGCCACAACGCCCAGCTATTCTTTTGTTGCAGCTGTCATTATTGTTTAGCAGGCCCAAGCCAGGTTCGAACCCACCAGCCTCGTGTTAGGGCTGCGGCCCTAACCACTGAACTACGGGCGCCAAGCCCTTCAATTTCTCCTAGAGACAGGGTCTCCAGCTCTGTTGCTAAGGCTGATCTCATGAGATCCTGCTTTGGCTCCCAAAGCGCTGGAACCTGGCCCTTTTCCTATTTTCTTATGATCATTAGGTACCCTCCCAACCCCCTGGAAGATGTTTTCTTTTTCCCTCAGGCATAAAAGCACCTTAGGCATCTGCAGAGTCCTGAATCACTGCAGGTCTATCCAGCGTTTTTACCAAATACAACTACCGGTAGATACTATTTGCGCTCTTTATTGTCGTGGACCGGCCGGACTTCACCTGCCTCCCCTTCTGCGCAGGAGCGAGTGCCCTGTCGGCCCTGGAGAAGATGGACCTGTACTGGATGGATCGTCAGCGCCTGCAGCCAGCTCCCTTACTTGAAGTGGCCTTGGGGCCACAAGTGGCCTTCTGGATCCTTCAGTGAGGCCTTCCGACTTAATTCAACTTTTACAGAACAAACCCTTTTTAGTAAAGACACTGGTTCTGTCAAGTTTGGATTCAGTCGAAGAGCCGCCCTTGGGGATCTGGAGAGCCACGTGTGCCCCCGAGGCCGCAGGTTGTTCACTCCATCCAGCCCTTTCCACAAAAGGACCCCGCTGCGCAGCTCAAGTTCGCTGCAGCTTGGGCAGCGGGATTTTAACGTGCAACTACGAGCTCGCGGGCCCTGAACAAGGGGCGCACGCCGGCCGCCGCAGCGAGGAGGAAGAGAGGCCGGCGGCCTGGGCCGCAGCAGCCCCGGGCTCCAGCCTGCACCTGAGACCCTGCGGCGGCCGCGCTCTCGCGAGACTTGCGGTCGGGGCGCGCTGTCTGGCCGGCGGTCCGGAAGTGGGCCGGGGACCCGTCTGCGTCCACCCCGGAGAGTGCGCGCTCCGCCCCGTGGGGTCCGCGGTCTCCTACGGCCCTGCGAGAGGCGGAGTCGCCGGGAAGCTCCCTGGCCTCGCCGGCTGCCCGGCCCCATCCTGGCCGCCGCAGCCCCTCCCTTTGCCCTTCACGGCGCCCGGCCCTCCTTAGGCTGCTGTCAGCCGCCGGGCAGCTGGCCTGGCCCCTTTTGCTTTCCTTCCCGTCCCCTCCTCTGACCCTAACGCCAGAGTCGCGGGTCCTGCAGTGTCCCAGCAGCAGCACGTATAACTTGCTCGGCGTAAGTGCTCGGAATGCCGCTGGCAGCGCGGGGAAATGCATTCCTTCTATCTATAGCTCTGTCCGTACATCCTCTGTCTACTGCAGCTATTCCAGGGGCAACAACTGCTTCACTCTGTTCTCATCTCCCCATTGGTGGCTTCCGACCCGAATTTGGGAATGGGGAGATCGCCCACCTGTTATCTTTGAGCAGACTAATCTCTAGTAAGCATAAATGCCAGTTGGAGCCTGCAGAGCCCTTTGGCGTGGTGCTAAGAATTTCCCCCCAATTCCTAATGTATTGCTTTTCTCTGAGAATGCTTTCGGTTTTTTAGGTTCTTTTTTTTTTAATTGTAAGAATATATAGTACAGTATTGTTCGCTTAGGTCTCACTTATTCTACTCGAAGGGAGGAAACACCTATTGGGCACCTTCATCTGATTTATAAGATTCATCCTTTTTCATTCCTCTGCTAGGATTAAAACACATTTAGAGCATGTAAGTGCTGCTGTCAGCTCTGGAGAATTTACAGTAATAGTTACTTTCTTTATCTTAATTCCTTTTTATTTTGTAGGGGTAACTTACTCGACTTCGGAGTTCTTTTAACTCTTCAGGTAGATTTCAAATCCTCTAGAAGCCAAAATGGAACACAGTAAACAGATTCGAATTTTAATTCTAAACGAAATGGAAAAGCTGGAAAGGACCCTCTTCAGACTCGAACAAGGTCAGTAGCAAGTTGTTTGATTCACTTGTTTGTGTCTTTAGAAATTTTAATTCATTGGCTCGGCGCCTATAGCTCAACCGGCTAAGGCGCCAGCCACGTACACCTAAGGTGGCGGGTTCGAATCCCCAGCCCGGACCCGCCAAACAACAATGACGGCAGCAACCAAAAAATAGCCGGGCGTTGTGGCGGGCGCCTGTGGTCCCAGCTACTTGGGAGGCGGAGGCAAGAGACTCGCTTGAGCCCAGGAGTTGGAGGTTGCTGTGAGCTGTAATGCCACGGCACTCTACCCAGGGGGACAGCTTGAGGCTCTGTCTCCAAAAAAAAAAAAGAAATTTTAATTCATTGACAGTCCTATTGAAGGACTTAAAACTTTAAGATCCATATAATTTCTAAGGATCTTTCTAGAACTTGATTCATGCAAAGACAGTGCTGTGTTCTGCAAATATCACAAATAAAGGGTGATTTGAGTTAAAAATATTTTATATCTGTCATGTTAGGGCAAGAATAAAATAGTTCACTTTTCTTTGCGTGTTAACTCCGATTTAACACAGAAGTTAGCATTGGAAGATTGACCATATTATTTCCAATAGCATTTATTATTAAAACTTGGTAAATTTTTTCATATATAGTTTTACTTTCAGCATATCTGTAGTTTTGCTTTTTTATAGTTGTCACTCTTTTCCTTTACTGAATCTTCGAATTGATAAAATAGTTTACGCCAAAAAGTATAGTTAAACTATCGTTTATGTTTATCAGAAGCTTCTCAGATATGGAGACGGCAAAAGCTGAAAATATTTTCTTGCCAAGTAAAAAGTGAAATAACTGATCAGGTTATGATGAAATATATTCAAGCTGTGACTTAAAAGATCAAATAATATTTCTAGTTGATTAATTTTTATTTTGATTAGCATTTTGACTAATAGATGCTTTATTTTCTTAGGCTTTGTATTTTCAACATTTAAAAACTTGACACTTATTTTCTGCGAACATAACTTACAAAATAGAAGTTTAATGAGCAAAAAGTAAAATACTGTCCCATACCAAGTGCATGTTGATTATCATCAATATTTTGAAGGAATTTATTTATTTCTCTAATATTTTAAGAGTGAAATTTTCTTTTCAGATTAATATGAAGGTACAATTAGGTTAACAGTGTTTGCATTTGTTAGGTAAAGTTCCTGAAGAGTTAAATGTTTGAAAACATTTCAGCCATCAAATATGTTACCATCATGCCAAACCCTCTTCTTCCAGCTTTGTCTGGCATTTAAAAATCACTGAGTACTTATTCCGTTTTTGGCTTTCCTGACTCTGCACTTTTCTGGTTTTGATTTTTTTTTTTCTCTCTACCCTGTTGTGTATTCCTGTCAGCTGGGTGCCTCTTACTGGGCTCTCCACCTTCAACATTTTAATATATTGTGGGGATCTTGTAGGAATCCTTTCTCTTTCTGTTCTCCTGCTATTAAGGAATGATACATTCTCAGGGGCTTATTTGCTGCCTCTATGCTGATGACTCCTTTTGAAAGAAGGGCCTTGAGTTTAGCTGTCTTTTTGGCAGCTTTCTGACAAGTGTAGAGAACCAGGATTTTCCTGGCTCTGCTGCTAACAAACCATTTAACTTTAGTCAGGCTATGTTAATTCTGAGCATTAATTAATTTATTTGTGAAATGAAAGTAATAATTTCTGCCAGTTGCGGTGGCTCACACCTGTAATCCTAGCATTCTGGGAGGCTGAGGCACATAGATTGCTGAGTTCAGGAGTTCAAGACTAGTGTGAACTAGAGCAAGACCCCCAACTCTATCACAAACAGAAAAACTAGCCAAGTCCTGGCTGCTTGGGAGGCTGAGGCAAGAGGATTGCTGAAGCCCAAGTGATTGCTGTGAGCTGTGATGATGCCATGTCACTCTAGCCTGGGCAACAGAGTGAGACTCTGTCTAAAAAAAGAAGAAGAAGAAAGTAATAATTTCTGCTCTTCTACCTTCTTTGGTTTTGAGGTTCACAGTTAATAATATATGGCTTCATAGTGATAGATCACTCTATCTGTGTATTCCTGCCTTGAATCTTGGCTTCAGCCTGATACTGTACTGTAAGCATTAGGAGAACTCCACTCAGACACATGTAAATCTAATATGTCCACAAACATCCTCTTCTTATTCTTAATGTGTCTTTACTTTTCAGCTTTTCTGTTCATTTTAGTGATATCTCCATTTTTATAGCTTCCCAGGCTAAAAGCTTATATTCTTCTTTGGTGATTTTTTTCTCTTTAACTGTAATTTTTCATTAAATTCTGTAATTTCTTTCCAAATATCTCTGCTTACCTGTTTCTTATTTCATATGTCCAAATTTAGATGCCAGAATAATCTTACGTAATCTATTCGCTTTTTATTAATTGGTTCTACAAAATCAAATTTAAGCACCTTTGTCTGGTTTCCAAGACATTCTGCAATGGGACTCCACCTTCCCTTGTCAAGATTATATCTTGTCATTCTCCACCATTGGTGTCTTACATCTTCACAGTTACCCATTCATTTCTGTTAAATGTCTCTCCAATAATTTTTCTCAGGCCTGTCATTACACTCCCCACTCCTGTCAGATTCCTCTGTATCAAATTCCTTTTACTTTCATTCTGTATGTTCCCTGCCTTTCACCTTTCAGCTGAAATTTCACCTGCTCTGTGAAATCTTTCCTGAATTTTTCAATATTTGCTCTCTTTGGTTTCAGATTACACAGTAAACACAGAACAATTAAGTGCTGAATAATAAAACAGTGTCCTAAAAGTTTGTTAGTTTACAGCGTCAAACTAAGATCTGTGAGGATAGGGACTTACAAACCTAGTCCAGTGTACAACAATTCATAAATACGTAAAGATTGATTACTAAAACTCCAATAAAAACTAGCAAAACTTGTTAAGTTCAGCCACGCTATTTGAAGAGGGAACTTGAAGGGTTTATGAACTAAGAATGATGTGGTTGGCTCTGTGACTCTAGTTAAAACCAGTGCCTTTATCCAAATGCTACAAATGGGGATATGTCATTATTTTTTGCAGTGCCGATGTGATCATATTATTTTAGAAAATAATTTGTCATGTAAAAGATGAAGAGAAGAGACGCTGGAGATAAGTTATTGAGAAGGCTGTTTTAAAAATCTGGTTAAAGATAAGGATTTAAAGGGATCAGAGTTGAAAAGGAGGGGACACATTTTAAAATTCAGACTTAGTGACCAACTGAATATGAAGAAAACCTCTGGCAATTTTGGGCTCTTTTGTATATAATTGGTCACAAAATCCCTCATTTTTCTTTCCTTCTCTCTTTTCCCAAAGAAAGGATTCTATCTCATTTACAACGCTGATATCTCTATGAGTTCTTCTAATTCAACAAGTATACATTAAATAATTCTCTTTTCTAGTCAAATCATGCCCCTTTCCTGTATTTCCTGTCTCATTTAGTGGCAGAATAATCAACAAGGTCACTATTTCCCAAACCTGGAATTCCTCCATCTTTTATAATAAGTTGGTGAAATATATAATTTTTGTTATTCTTTTAAGAAAACGTTTATTTACAAAGATTCTTTGATTAGAAAATTGAGTTTCTGTTAATTGAGTGGAGAAAAGAAGACAGAAATTTTTTGTTTACAATAAAAATAATCAGTCCTCTGATTATTAAGTTGCCTATAAGAAGTATACGGGTAACCTAAGTAAAATATTCCTAGTGTTAGCATGAGGAATAAGATAGCCACACCATGTACTGCTATGACCGAAGCTAATTTTAGCAAAGAAAATGATTGATTGTGGCATCTGACGTACTCTCGGTGTCATATTTCATTTACTGTATATGAGAATTTGGTTTCAGTGATTTGGATTTGAGGTCTACAGAGTGGCTCTGTACCCCTAAAGGTATGCACTGAACTATCTGTTGAGATACAGAAAAGAAAGTATAGAATCTTTGTTTCTACCCATTTTAGTTTTTTTAAAGCACTTTAATTTTGCTAAGTATGAATTGACATTAATGCTGTCTATATGTCAGATGAGTTGTACACAAAAAACACATACTCTTGAGGAACAGGTGGAGGTTGTAGGTCTGAAAGGAGTTGACAGCGCCACCCTCTTTTGCTTGTTTGAATTGTATTGCCATGAATAATTGCACTTTTTCCCTAAGCTGTGTTAAATGGATACACAGGGTACCTTAACTTAAATATTAGAGTCTTTTTATTTTTTATTTTTTAAGAGAGTGGTAGGGTTTTTACTCTGTTGCCTAGGCTGGAGTGCAGTGACATGAGCATAGCTCCCAGTAACCTGGGCCCAAGCAATCCTCCAGCCTCAGCCTCCTGAATAACGGTGACTACAAGCAAATACCACCACACCATGCTAATTTTTTGAGTTTTTTGTAGAAATAAGGTCTCACTGTGTTGTCCAGGCTGGTCTCAAACTCCTTGTCTCAAGCAGTCCTCTTGCCTGGCCTCCCAAAGTTTTTGGATTACAGGTGTGAACCAAGGCACCAGGCCATAGTAGAGTCTTTTCCATATTTTTTAAAGACAGATAGGGTAACAGTGAACATCTCTTTTACCTCATAGTAGTTGTCCGACTTAAAGATGAGTTAGAAAGCCTTTGAGATTTGTCCTTTTCAGGAATGATAGCCTCTGATGGTATGATACTTAGAAAATATTTTTAGAAAATATATAAACATTTCATTTGACTCCCGAAGGCAAACATGAGTGAGAAGTTAACTGCTTTTTTGGAGGCAATTGATGCTGTCAAGCAGAGCATGGCTTCTTTTTCCTGTAAAGGTTCAGGTAGCAAATCTCAGCTTTGCAGATCCAGCCCCTGCCCTCGGTTGTAGCAGCCATTGGCAATGCTTAAATGAAGAATGTAGCTCTGCTCCAGTAAAACTGTACTTACAGAGACAGGTATTGGGCAGGATGTAATTTGCTGACCCTTGCTATAGAGAAAGCATTTCGAATGTATAATTTTAGAAATGCTTTTATCATTATATGATTTTACTCATATT